GTAGGGTTCCATCCTGGGACTCAGCGTTAGGATTGGCTCCATGGCGTAGGAGGATTTTTACACACTCTAAGTGTGCGTTCTCACAAGCTCCATGCAGAGCGCTCTCCCCGCCAGGAGAAAACTCAACATCTGCCCCCAGTCTGAGCAGCAGCTGGACACAGTCTGCATAACCGCGGTTAGCAGTGACAAACAGAGGGCAGGTAAACTCCTCCTCATACGTCAGCGACCATATCCCTGAGAAGAAAGAACAAGGGTCACGACAAGTTATTTAATTTGGGGTTCTCCATAATGTGTTTGTGGGGTAACCTACTGAGAGCTGTGGTGTTGTATCGATAATTCTTCCACTCCTCCAGGTCACTCGTATCAAAGACAGAGTTGGGGTGAACAAGACTATTAGAGTCCCCTAGTAGCAAACAAATGGTCTCTGTGTCTCCTGATAGAAGTGCGAGCCAGTATTTTAAAGGGGGCCCCTCTGCCTTCCGTGTAACAATAACTGCAGGAAGCATCTCAAATGTAAAGGGGGCTGTCTATTCTATAGTGGGCCGTCTTATGGCTCTGTGTTTTCTATTGAAAAGTGAGGCGTCTAATGGGTCTCTGACTGTCTAATGTAAAGGAGAGATGTTTAATGACACGGTCACCCTCTAATGAAAAGTGAGCCGTCTAATGGGTCTCTGACTGTCTAATGTAAAGGAGAGATGTTTAATGACACGGTCACCCTCTAATGAAAAGTGAGCCGTCTAATAGGTCTCTGACTGTCTAATGTAAAGGAGAGATGTTTAATGACACGGTCACTCTCTAATAAAAAGTGAGCCGTCTAATGGGTCTGTTACTGTCTAATGTAAAGGAGAGATGTTTAATGACACGGTCACTCTCTAATGAAAAGTGAGCCGTCTAATGGGTCTGTGACTAATGTAAAGGAGAGATGTTTAATGACACGGTCACCCTCTAATGAAAAGTGAGCCGTCTAATGGGTCTCTGACTGTCTAATGTAAAGGAGAGATGTTTAATGACACGGTCACCCTCTAATGAAAAGTGAGCCGTCTAATGGGTCTCTGACTGTCTAATGTAAAGGAGAGATGTTTAATGGCACGGTTACTCTCTAATGAAAAGTGAGCCATCTAATGGGTCTGCGACTGTCTAATGTAAAGGGGAGATGTTTAATGGCACTGTCACTATCTAATGAAAAATGAGCCGTCTAATGGGTCTGTGACTGTCTAATGTGAAGGGAGATGTTTAATGGCACTGTCACTATCTAATGAAAAATGAGCCGTCTAATGGGTCTGTGACTGTCTAATGTGAAGGGAGATGTTTAATGGCACTGTCACTATCTAATGAAAAGTGAGCCATCTAATGGGTCTGTGACTGTCTAATGTAAAGGAAAAATGTTTAATGACACGGTCACCCTCTAATGAAAAGTAAGCCGTCTAATGGGTCTGTGACTGTCTAATGTAAACTGGGCTGTCAAATAGCTCTGTCACTGTCTAATTTTAGCAGGTACTGTCTAATATAAACATAGCTGTCTTAAAGCTCTACCACTGTCTAATGCAGCAGGGATAGTCTAATGACTGTCAGTATCAAATGTGTTCCTGACTGTCTAATGTGTTGGTGAATATCTGTTTTAAGTGATGGTCTAAGACCGTTTTCTTATTTCTATGCTGTCTTTCCAGCTTATCACCACTCTCATTGTCTGTCACCATCAATCAGTGTCTGTCTCTCACTGCCCTCTCACGGTCTCTCTAATCTTTGTCTGTCTCTGGTTCTCTCTTACCCTCAAACCTTTACGCCTGCCTCTGACAATGTC